CAAAAACCCACGGCCCGCGTAGTGGGGCACCGAGGGGCCGGGATAGGTCAAAAATTTACATTTTTATTTATGTTTTGCATTCTAAAATTCATATACGATTTTTAAAAATTAATGCAATAAGCAGTACCATTTTTTGTATGAATATTCTATTTTTTGAGATTTTCTATATTTTTTATTTTTGAAAAATAAAATAAAATACAAACAATGTCAAAATATTATGAAATTTTACAGACACGATCCTTATATTTTTCTAGAAATGCCTGCAAAAATTAGCCTAAAAAATGACAAGAAAAAGTGAAACGCTCTAAAAAAACCCCCAGCTCACGTAGTGGGGCGCCCAGGAGCTGTGATTGGTAAAAAATTTACATTGTTATTTATGTTTTGCATTCTACAAGTAATATACAATTTTTAAGAATTAAGGCAAGTAGCAGCACCATTTTTTTATGAATATTCTATTTTTTATGATTTTCTTTGTTTTTCAGCTTTGAAATATAAAATAACATAAAAATGACGTAAAAACATTATGAAATTTTACAGACACGATCCCCACATTTTTCTGCGCATGCTCGCAAAAAAGGCCTTAAAAACTGAAAAAAAGGTGAAAGATTGTCAAAAAATCCCCGACCCGCATAGTGGAGCGCCTAGGGACTGGGATGAGTGAAAAATTTACATTTTTATTTATATTTTACATTGTAGAATTGATGTACGATTTTTAAGAATTAATACAATAAGAAGCACCATTTTCTGATGAATATAATATTTTTAATGATTTTCTTTATTTTTTATCTTTGAAAAATAAAATAAAATAAAAACAACGTCAAAACATTATGAAATTTTGCAGACACGATCATTCTATTTTTCTGGGCATGCGTGCAAAAAATGGCCCAAGAAAATGACAAAAAAAAGTAAAACGTTGTTAAAAAGCCCATGGCCCACGTACTGGGCATCGAGCGGCCGGAATGTGTGAAAAATTTATATTTTTATTTATGTTTTACATTATAAAATTAATATATGATTTTTAGGAATTAATACAACAAGAAGCACCTTCTTTTGATGAATATTTTACTTTTTATGATTTTCTTTATTTTTCATTTTTAAAAAATAAAATAAAATAAAAACGACGTCAAAATATTATGAAATTTTGCAGACACGATCCTTACATTTTTTTAGGCTTGCCTGCAAAAAATGCCCTAAAAATGACAAAAAAACGCTGCCAAAAAACCTCCGGCCTACGTAGTAGGGCGCCCAGGGGCACGGATGGGTCAAAAATTTTCATTTTTATTTATATTTTACATTCTAAAATTAATATTTGATTTTGAGGAATTAATGCAATAAATAGCACAATTTTTTTTATCAATATTCTATTTTTATGATTTTCTTTATTTTTTATCTTTGCAAAATAAAATAAAATAAAAACGACGTCAAAATATTATGAAATTTTACAAACACGGTCCTTACATTTTTCTGGGCATGCTTGCAAAAAATGGCCTCAAAAAAAGAAAAAAAAAAAAAGAAAAACGCTGTCAAAAAACTCCCGGCCCGCGTAGTGGGGTGCCTAGGGGCTCAAATGGGTCAAAAATTTATAGTTTTATTTATGTTTTGTATTCTAAAATTAATATACAATTTTTAGAAATTAATGCAATAAGCCGCACCATTTTCTGATGAATATTTCATTTTTTATGATTTTATTTATTTTTCATCTTTGAAAAATAAAATAAAGTAAAAACGACGTCAAAAAATTATGAAATTTTTGCATACACAATCCTTATATTTTTTTGGGCATGTTGCAAAAAATAACCTCAAAAAATGACAAACAAAAGAAAAACGTTGTAAAAAAGCCCCCGTCCCACGCAGTATGACGCCTAGGGGCCGGGATGGATAAAAAATTTATATTTTTATTTATGTTTTGCATTCTAATATTAATATATGATTTTTAGGAATTAATTCAACAAGAAGCACCATTTTTGATGAATATTCTTTTTTTTATGATTTTCTTTATTTTTGGTCTTTGAAAAATAAAATAAAGTAAAAACGACGTCCAAACATTATGAAATTTGGCAGACACGATCCGTATATTTTTCTGGTTATGCATGCAAAAAATGGCCTAAAAAACTGACAAAAAAAATAAAACGTTGTCAAAAAACCACCAACCCGGGGTCAAGATGGGTTAAAAATTTACATTTTTTTATGTTTTACATTTTAAAATTAATATACAATTTTTAAGAATTAATGCAACAAGCAGCGCCATTTTTTGATAAATATTCTATTTTTTATTATTTTCTTTATTTTTTGTATTTAAAAAATAAAATAAAATAAAAACGACGTCAAAATATTATGAAATTTTGCATACACGATCCTTACATTTTTTCTGGACATGCCTGCAAAAATAGCCTCAAAAAATGACAAAAAAAAAGAAAAACGCTGTCAAAAAACCCCGATCCATGTAGTGGAGCGCCTAGGGGCCAAGATAGGTCAAAAATTTATATTTTTATTTATGTTTTATATTGTAAAATTAATATATTATTTTTAAGAATTAATTCAACAAGGAGTGTCATTTTTTTTAATATTCTTTTTTATGATTTTCTTTATTTTTTGTCTTTGAAAAATAAAATAAAATAAAAGCAACCTCAAAACATTATGAAATTTGGTAGACACGATCCTTACATTTTTCTAGGCATGCCTGCAAAAAATGGCCCAAAAAAGATAAAAAAAAAAGTAAAACGCTGTCAAAAAGCTCCCGGCCCACGTAGTGGGGCACCTAGGGACTGGGATGTATAAAAAATTTACATTTTTATTTATGCTTTGTATTCTAAAATTAATATATAATTTTTAGGAATTAATACAATAAGAAGTACCATTTTTTGATTAATATTCTATTTTTATGATTTTCTTTATTTTTCATCTTTGAAAAATAAAGTAAAATAAAAATGACGTCAAAATATTATGAAATTTTATACACAATCCTTACATTTTTTTTGGGCATGCCTGCAAAAAATGACCTAAAAATGACAAAAAAAAACGCTGTCAAAAAACTCCCAGCTCGCGTAGTGGGGCACCTAGGGGCCGGGATGGGTCAAAAATTTACATTTTTATTTATGTTTTGCATTCTAAAATTAATATATGATGTTTAGGAATTAATTCAACAAGTAGCACTATTTTTTTATGAATATTCTTTTTTTTACGATTTTCTTTATTTTTGGTCTTTGTACTCTCGTAATTATAGATATAGTTTACTTCTAAACTTTGAAGTGTCCATTTGTTGTAGTCATTACATATAAATCAATCATCCATAAATAATTCATAATTAGAGGCATGTGAAATCCATTAACCTCTCTAATTACATCTTTATCCTTAAGTACTATTGATTCTCTAATGGACAGTGATTCATAAAATAAATTCTTGAATCGAAGCTCCTACTGGTCCAAGTACAGCAACCCTCAAGAGAATTATTTATCTACTTCTCTCTAAAAAAGGAATGAATTTCATTTCATATAATAACATTCTCGGTTGCTCACTTTATCATGTCTCCAAAATACAAGGAATAGGATTTATGATCTCAAAATATGTACTGAGTAAATCAAAAAACACAAATCCATTAATAGGAGTCTGCTAATAACTCAAGATTAAGATCATTCTATATATGACCATCGACAGACTCAATTAGAATTTCTATACTTAACGAAAATTATCAAAAATTTATATTGTGTCTATGCCTCTGTTCCACATAATATTATTATACGTAATACACTCATTCAATATCTCTACATATTAACAGTGCAGATAATATTGTTCCATTCTGAATGGGAAGGACATGTATTAGTAATGTTTTAATTAAAGATTTTAAACTTTAATTAAATTCATTGCGAACATCGTTTTGATTATTATCCTTTAATATTATCCTCTCACATATAACACATAAACAATATTTATGGTCACATAAATAATCATGAAATTTTCAGTGATATTCATAAAATATTCAATAATATATGCACATAAAATAATGAATAAACTTTTTTATTAAATAAATAATAAATATCATATTAAAACTGAGAGGTAAAACATATATAGTTCTGAAGCATAGATAAGAAAGAAGAGAAATCTAAGCCAGACAAAGTACAAGTCGTTATTGCTAGCATTTCATACCAAATAAGTACAGGTTATTGGTATGGTAAAACATATATACGGGCAACTCACAAAAATGTCTAGGTTACTGGCTTCCTGAGAGGCCTGTAGGTTTCTAGCCAATCCAAGTAAAACTGAGAGGGTTGACCTCCCGCAGAATGGAATTTTCTACTCACCGGAACAGAAGAGGGAAAAGGAAAAATCTCTCAACAAAAGACCTCTAAAAAATAAATAAAATAAAATAAAAAGCCCATTCACAAACTAGTGAAATGAAAAAATAACATTATTTGTTTGATAACTCAAATTCTTTTATTACAGTGTTTTCTCTTAAAAAAATTCAAATTCAATTTTTTTGTTAGTCTTTTCTCTCACATGAAAAATTTTGAGTTGTGAAAAATATACTTTACATGAAATTAATCACAAAGTGAAAATTCAAATTCAACTTTTTTACTAGTTTTTTCTCTCACATGAAAAAGTTTAAATTGTAACTTGAGTTGTGAAAAAAATACTTTATGTGAAATTAATCACAACACTTTACATGAAATTAATCACAATTTTTAAAGAATACCACATGTTACAACTTACAACCCAATATAACATGCCGTCAAAAAGAAATCATGTTACCATATGCAAACGTAATTGTAAATTCGACCGAAATATAAATAATTCCATATCCTACGTCACACTTACGTCGAATATAGGCCTATATAGGATACCTATACGGAAATCAGCTACACAACCACAGTCTCTTTTTTGTATCATATTTCTCAAGTACTGTATTTCCCCACCTACAGTAGTTTCCCAAACTAATTTAATGTAAACAATAGTACCCCTAAAAAATAAATAAATAAACAATAGTAATGCTTCAGAATTGGAGAAACAACAGTTCAAAATGCGTTGCAAATGAGAAAATGATCCTCAATAAATTTGATAACAAGCAATTAATGGAATGAGCTTTCTCAAAAGTAGAAGGAAAATGCCTAACGTGTACCTTTTTCTTTCCATTATTGTATAATTATGACAATTAAATGGGTCGTTCCAGGAGTCCTAAGTCATGTACAACACAAAGATCTCAACATGATACCGATAAATCCGACAAAATCTCACCGATTTCCACAGCCAAAGCACCTCTTTAGGAATATGAAGACAAGGAAATATTTACTCAGAAAACTATACTCTTCACGATTCTATCTACTTCAACCACACTCAAATGTCTAAAGCCATTTTCCTTCATCCATTTCTCCGTTCCAGCCGAAACATCTTTAAGTTGCTTTTCTGACATCTTCAACAGCTTCAAGCCCTCACTTGATTTTGGAAAGAAGCCTTCGGGCCTCAAACACCAAGCTCTAAATACCCCAAACAAAACCTCCAAATCATTAGCAAACCTCTCAATTCCGCCATCACGAAACTTCACATTACTCAAAAGAATGCCATTGAAAACTAATCGATCTATCCCCGCAGCCAAACTTCTCCACACCCCAATAAAGTCTTTCCCGTTCAAATTGACTTCTAACACTGACATTTTTCCTTGCAGATAATCAAGGGCACCAACTAAAGACTTCGACACTGTCCAACCTTCTTCACTCTTTTCCTGCCACTGCCTTTTGTTCTTTATATAGTCTCGACATAGAGCATCGAACCCCCTCAAAGTTACAACAGATAATTTTTCAACCCACTCTATTCTAAATCCCTCCAACTTTCCAATCTCCTTATCTAACACACTACTCTCAATATCTTCTATCAGTCCACCACCTTTGTTCGCACTAATAGATACTTCCGATTGATCACCCTGGACTGATCCCAGTTCAAGAAAGAAGACGTCCTCGCACCATTCCATTAGTACAGATTCAAAATTGCGAGCAGCATTAATAGAGTTTGCAACTTTGATTAGGGCATCATCATCTGTCAAGGCAGTTAGGCCTTCAGCTTCTTGGCACCTGAGAAGCAAGCATTCCAAGAAGTTTTGTATTATAGGTGCACCAGCAGATCTGAGAAACTTCGACCTCAGAGATAACGTCGGCAGTGACCGACAACGATCAATTACAGATGAAAGACGCCGAAGAAAGGCACTAGAAATTGCAGGTGCTTTATAGTCTTCGGGATTAGAGGAAAGGATTGCTCCCTTAACCTTCATTGTCCAATTTTTCTCAACATTACACTCGGTTTTTAACTTGTCTAGTATGTCTCGGAGCTCAATCTCAGCCCATACCTCAAGCCAGTCAGGCCGATCACAGAAAACAGATAGAGAGGAAATCTTTTGAAGGTTTCCATCATCCTCAAAGGAAAGAAAGATTCCAGAATGCTCTAACAGAGACTTAATCTGTTTGTCAAATGATATCATCAAGTCAATAAGATTAAGCCAGGATATTCTGGCCTGTGATTGAGTGTCCATGTTATTTTCTTCCTCTAGTTGAGCAACATACTTCGGAAAAATTTCTTTTGCCAAATATGTTGATAAGGAGGATACCATTGCTGATATCCATTCCTCTCTGCAACTATATCCAGATAACATTGCTTCATCAACCAATGGTTGTAATAGTTCATCCATAGAGTCTACATAGTCTCTTGTAATTTTATAGACAAGAGCAAAAATGAATTCTGGCTTCTCAACCCACTTCGAGAAATGGCGTTGGGATGCCAATGATATAGGATTTACCAGCTCTTCAATCACCCAAAGTGGCTGGTGCAGAGCAACTTCCCTGCTATAGCCTTCAAGTTGCCGAGATTTTCTCCGTCTCTGCAGCTCCTGTAGGTTGCACAGAGCAAAAAAGTTTTCACAGTACAGGTCTTTGAGGTCACCTTGCATTGTGAAAAGAGGATTGACGAATTTGGTGGAATTTGAAACTGCAGAACTCGTAGATGATAGTGGCGGTGGCCACCCTAGAGAAACAAGAAGTGCTCGATGATCTGCTATAGCCTGTGGTCTTAAGATGGCCAAAGCTCGATCTACTCTGTGATCAACTGCTGACATAAGCCGTCCCCATTGGGGGTGTGTTTTTGTAATTGATGTTAGAATGTCTTCTGTCTGTTTCAGGGTTCTAATAGCATGCAGACGAGTATCCTGCAAGAATTGAGTGCATTGAGAATATAATTGGCGACCAGAGGGAAAAATAATTAGAATATCATTTTCTTTTAAAAACATAATGACTACTCACTTCTGAATTCTGTGTTGAGTAATACTTCTTTAAGTTTTTTGTCATGGTTGAAGATACTGCATCTTCAATATCACCAATCAAACTATCAAGCTTCAACGCTGTCTCTGAAAGATACAAAGTACAAAAGTGAGGAAAAAGACAGAAACACTGAATTACTGTAATAAACTTATAAAAATAGTATATATTTATGTCCGCATTAGTGTTTCCAAGAAAGATAATAACACGGTATGTCCAATCTTTGAAGAAGAATGCTTGTGCAATAAACCTAAATTGTTGCACGGTATATAATTCTTTAAAATATCTTAGTGTTTTACAAAATAACATCCTTGGTGCGCAAATATATCACCACTATTTTATCACTAAATTTTTGGCAGTTGAATTTTTTCCAAGATAATGAACATATGCCATCTCCTCAAAACTAAAGCTCAACCATGGAAACACTGCATACCCTCACTGACAAAGCTCAACCATGGAAACACTGCATACCACCCTTGCTGACAAAGCAAGTTGATACGTTAATGTTCTTTCTTTTACGTTTATCCTTCATCCCAGTGTAAAATGCTTTAAGATTCCGACTAGGGAGATGTAGATGATGTAAATGATTATAATTTGTGCAATTCTCATGGAGATAAACTCCTGTAAAATGAGAATAACTAAGTTCATTGCCACAGGGAAGCTTTTATTTGAAAACATATAAAATCTAAAATTTGTAAATGTTGCGGATATTGCACATAAACAAATTATATTGCCCCAAAATGAAAAATCATAAAGACCTTCATTTCCAAACAAGTGGACATCCAAAGAAGCTTTCAAACTGATAATCAAATTCTCAAGTGAAAAGTCAATATAATTCCTACCATTATGTTTGTTATGACACAATCAACGCCTACACTAACTGAACATCTCAAACCGATTTTCCGCATTTCTATTCTATACATCGTGAGCAACTCACCGGCGTAAATCCGAACCGCCTCGACTCTCGCCACTTCCTTCGCCAATGCCGGCAGCTCCTCCCCCAATATCTGCTCTGTTCTCCCCTTTCCCTCTCCTCCTTCCCCATCTGTACACAAAATTCCATAAATCCGCTCACATCAATTGCCAAAATCACAGAAATCAATACATATAGATACACAAAATCCCTAGAATCGAATACGAATAAAAAAAAACTCAAAACAGACATAATGCATAGACAGAGACAGATATACATATAGATATACCAAAAGAAAACAGAACCTGCAGAGGCAGAACTAGGAGAGGAAGTGGACGATAGGAGACCGATCAATTGCGCATTGATGTCAGCGAAGAGAGCGTGGATTTGATCGGAGAACGAGGAGTAGGCGACGAGGATCTCCCCGAGGTTCCGATTCAGGTCAATTAGGTTTTGATCCAAATCGCCGCACTGAGCTTGGAGCTCGGAGACGAGGCTCGGAGCTTGGCTGAGAGCTTCGCCGGTGTTGAGGTTGTGGTTGAGAAAGAAGAGGACCGAGGCAGAGAGGCTCATGGCCGGAGGCAGCGTACCGGCGACGGAGGAGTCCATGGTTGTTCGGAGGTTCAGTTCAGGCCATTGGGTTCGGTGGTAGCAATGGGAAATTTGAACGTAGCGCGAGGGTATTTTCGAGTTTTAACGCCGAAATATAAACCTTGTAAGGTGCTTTGCTTCATTCTTCCATTGAGAGAGTTCTGAACAGTGAGTCAGAGACTCGGTGCCGTGTCAAAAGTTTGACTTTCTTATCTATGGGCCTAGGCCTAATAGTTAACGGGTTTGCTTGTGAGAGAACCCAACCAACCTTGTGGATTGACTCTATAAGATTTGGGTCAAATGAAGACTGCCCTTGTTTTCTTTGGGCTTTGGGTAGTCCCAAGAGTCTCGGTGAGAAAATTGTTCAAAACTTACTGGATTTGTATCCATTACTCTTAACTAATATATTTTTTATTAATATAATTATTTAGTTAAAAAGGATATCAATAACTGACCATTAGAGAATCAATAGTACTCGAGAATAAAGATGTGATTAGAGAGATTAACGGATTTCATCTGGCTCTAATTATAAATTATTTATGGATGATTGATCTATATGTAATGGCTATATCAAATAGACACTTCAAAGTTTGGGAGTAAACTATATCTATAATTATGAGAGTGCAATTTCAAGTTTATAGTGGAGTAACTTTAGAATTAATAGAATTAATTAATTAATTAAAGAGTTTGATTAATTATTAATTTTATTGGAGCTCAGAATTATAAGTCCATGAGTCCCCGCGTTATCCTTATAATTCTACAAGACACGAAGAAAAAAATATGAATTTTAGAATTGTAGAATTCTAACGTAAAAAACTCAAAATTAATTAATTACGAATTAATTAAATATTGAATAATTTAATTATTTAATTTAAATTTTGAAACACACATGTGATGGAGATCACAAGTGTCACACGCCCAATACTGTAGGAATCCCTATGACATTCAGTTACTTGCTCTCTAAGTTATCCAATTAGAATTCAAATTAAATTAAATTTGACTTTAATTGAAATTTGAATTTGAGTCAAAACTGGACAATTGGATAAAGGAGAAATCTTATCTCCTCCTTATCAGCTGTAGGCATCAACCATAGGGGGTTTATCCTTGTGGTGGCCGAATTTTATCTACAGCAAGATAGAGAAAATTGTTCCAAAATAAATGGGAATTTTATTTGATGTTAAATAGGATTTAAATTAAATATTATCCTTATTTTCTGAAACCTTATCTTAAAAGATAAGATAGAGTTTCTATAAGACTCTAAGAGATACTCTATAAATAGGAGATTGCAGAAAATTAGAGAACACAATTTTCTCCATTTCCCTATGAGATAGGCGTGTAACATGCTAGTTACGGACATCTAACATTCTGTCAGACAGTGTGTAACATGCTAGTGACAGGTGTGTAACGTTTTCACTGCCCCTCCTACAAGTGGTGTGTAACATGCCTAGTGTAGGCATGTAACACACAGTTAGTTAGCGTGTAATCTACTAGAGGTTGGCGTGTAACCTGAGAGAAAAAGAGAACAAAAATTCTTCCAAATTCCCAGTTCCATGTCATGCATGTGTTGATGTTCGTGGAAGACTTAAGTATTTTGAGTGCTAATCCTATTTTACATCAGGTGTGCCTACACACACGTCTTCGTAGATTCAAGGAATTAACGGGGAAGATTCGGGTATTCTAATTAAGTTTGGAGCAATGACCGTTTGTGGTCAAAGAACTCAAATTATCGACCTAATCATTCACTAGGTAAATTTATTTTTAAATTAATTTAATTTATTTATTCGTATATAAATTAATGTATTCTATAGATTATCTAAAAAATTTATTAAAATTTTTGTTATATACGATCCGCTAAATCAACAACACCTATAGTTTTTAAAAGTCGCTTCAGATTTGACATCTTGAAACACATCATGAAATCAAGAGTCCTTTATATATCCCTCACATTTCATAAAAATTTTTAACTGTCATCTAAGGTACACGTATGTGAAATCGGGAATCCTTATATATCCCTAACATTTCATGAAGATTTTTAACTGTCATCTAAAGTACACGTATATGCGAAATCAGTCCTTATATATCCCTCACATTTCATGAAAAATTTTAACTGTCATCTAAAGTGCACTTATGCGGTTTTGAGTGCAACACTTAACTACGGTTCTAGAAAAATGTTAAAAGTGAAACTTTTAATGACATATTTACATAACACTGTTGTCAAAAGTCCCAAAAGAATTAAAAAAATATCTTTTTAGCCAAAGTTATTTGCTTGCTCAAACAACAATTTGTTAAAAACTTATTCACAAATTAATAAAACATTCATAGTTCAGGACAAAAGTCAAAAACAACAATTTCTAACTAATACAAAAACCCTTCGTCTAATCTAGAATTTATAGTAGTGTCTACTTTTTGTCATCAATTATGATATTTGGACATCACAGTTTCTAATTTTGAATAGTTAAAAGATGGTATTGGAATCATAGAAAAATTCAACACAACAGTCATTGAACAACAAATATCAAATTTTTAGAATATGCTTTATTTGATTTGACACCAAATATAAAATACACCAAATTATTATTCCTCATATATATATATATATATATATATCAATGTCGAGTTGGGCTTGGAGTGTATTATTCTACTCTTACAGGATACTTTCATTTTGGCAATAATTATCTAAAACATTGTAGTTCTATACCCATCAACATTTAGCACAATATTAGGCTTTACACTCTGGAATCACATGAAATATGCCAAGCCTAGGGGCATTATTATATCATATTAGCTACATGGTAATGAAACCCACAATGAATACAGCCAAATCCATTATTTTTTTCAATACAACAAATGACTATTATTGCAACAAATGACTTCTTGCACACGGCAAAAAACCGCAATTCCCAAAAGAGCTTTCTCCACTCACTGGCATGATTTGATTTGATTTTTTTTTTTTAGTATGTCATTCGGATACGACTTATAATCATGAAATCCAAAGACTATTTCTACTGAAGAATAGAAAAAATGTTTAGACTTAATCCAATACATATTTACATGTGACGGTACGGTATTTATTTGTACAACAACTTCATGACCTCATTTGCATTAATGTTGTTTTTTTTTTCCCTTAAAAAAAATAATGGTTTTGCATTTGACATTAACATTAGGTCATTATAGTAGTTTATATGTTTAGGTACTCCTCCACGTACGTCTCAAATATTAGATTTTACCAACCTATGAACCTATCTATTTAGTCTCCATGTCATAATTAAAACATTAAAAAAATCTACAATTTTTTAAAGGGTATGAAAGAATACCTATCACAAGGGCATTATTTTAAATCTTTAGCGTTTGATTAATGTATTCGTACAATGATTTAAATCACGGTTCGTGATTTGTTACCGTATTTTTTCTCATAAAAAATACACGTAAATTAATAATAATTCTGAATCATAATTATGAATCTGTAAACCAGACGTTTATTAAATTCAATTAATTTTGTATACCAATTTCATTTTAACGTGGATTTAATCAGAGGGTTAGAAATCGAGATCCGGGAAGAAAAAGCTCCTAAAAGGATATATAGTACTGGGCAGCAGCCATATTAATATTATGACAGAAAATGAGGTGTATTCCACTTTTTTAAAAAGAAAAAAAAAAGATAGTACAATTACAAATCCAAGTACTATAAATTAACCAGAAAGCGCAGAGACATGGTGCATGCACAGCCCACGTGAGTACTGCAACAGTTCCTCGTGGGGTCTCTGAGCAGTGAGTTAGAGCACAATTTCAAGCAGCTCACACATTCCATTTCTCCTATCATGTACAATTTTGTACTTTTTATTTTCTTCAATCTTTTATTATCTCTCTCTCTCTCTCTCTCTTTTTTTTTCTTTTGTGTGGTATGGATTGGCTCCTCCAACAAGGATTAATTGGCTGCAGGTAAAAAGGATCAACTCTGAAGGCCACTGAGCCCCGCAGGTACTATTATGGGAAAGTATTTTCAAGCTTTTGGAGTAAAAACAAAACTCAGTACGGTGAAAAAGAATTTGACCATGTTTTTTAATTAACAAACCGGTAGTAACCCCAACCAACCTGACCCAGGCAAGAAGAGAGAGAGAGAGAGAGAGAGAGAGAGAGAGAAAATAAAGCTAAAAGAAAGGGAATATTTGCATGTTTAACTATCCCAAGTCTTTTTGGCTGATTGATTGCTGGCTTCTCTTTTTCTACATCTGTTTTGCTTTCTTTTACTGTTGTTTCATGAGAAAGCCTCTCTCTCTCTCTCTCTCCCTCTCTCTGACTAAAGATTCTTAAGAATCCAAAATAACTGCTTAAGAATCTAAAATCACTGCTAAAATGCATTATCAAGAGGCGTAAGATTGGCGGGGTAATTAAAGGAGAATTCAGTGATAAGGTATGAACATATGATTTTCAGTTAGAACACAGTTTTAAACTGTCCGAGCAGATCAAAATATAATGAGCAACTATATCAGTACACAGTAAATTCACCAAGATGCCAGAAACTACCGTCTAGAAACAAACCTGTAAATTATCATGAAACGTCAGAACAAGAACAAGGAAAAGGCCCCTTTGACATTTTGTCTCTCTCTCTCTCTCTCTCTCTCTCTCTCTCTCTCTCTACAAAGTCACATAAACCAAATTCATACGTATGGTTACTGATAGAGCAACAACTGTCACAGCTGAAGAACACCCGTCTAAGAAATATGAACTTAAGACTGCTAATAACGTTTGTCAGAATAACAACAAAAGTAACTTACTGGAGCATTGATTTATGGAAAAAAATAATTCAGAACCTGCAAACATTTGTAACTGTTTTTGGTAACTAGTTAATTATTGTAATTGGCTGTATACTTTTTTGATTCCAAAACAACCTTTTCGATTCCAAAACAGCTTTTTCTTTCTAGTTGATATAACCTAAGTATTTCATTGAAACTTATTTTCAATATCAACTCTCATCTTAACCATTGATAGATTAAAGTAGAAACAGAAAGAAATCCAAGCGTCTCACCTAATTACTTTACCAAAGCATTGAAATGAATGTAATCACCAAGTCAAGTACAGTGCAGAAGTTTTGGTACTCGGTTCATCTAATCCAACACAAAGAAATAAAATAGCAGTATCCTAGAAAAATGTCTATGCTGCCTAGTAAAATGCCAATGCAGTTGCAGAAATGTGCATTTTCTGATACAATATATGCAAGCTTAACAAGCTAGTTGCAAAATTTAAATGTTTATTTAGTTCCCTTTCGAAAATCCGACAAAGTTATAAGAAATAATAAATTTGTTGTTAAAGCCCTCCATAAACGATGTCGCCTTCAGGATAACTAGAAGTAAAGAAATGCAACTAATAAGAATAAGAAACTGGAAGCGTCACAAATTATGCCAAGATCTAATTAGCTGCTTCGAGCAGCACCCATAACTTTCTATGGACATGTTCTCCAGCTCTCTCAAACATAGTTCAGAAAACTGGGTATGAAAATTTATCCAATTTTCCAACTGGCTGGCTATGACAGAAATTACTGTATAGTATAGTGATTAATTTTCTTTTCTAAACCTTTTTGATGCTAGTAAAAATGTCACCATATCAGACCTGCCCTAGCAAGCCGAAATGCTTCGTACATGTCAACTAATAACTAATATGGAAAATGCAACAAAACAAAAGTGCCTTGCGCTTGCAGTAAGAGAAATGTCAATAGAGTATTTGACTTGCAACAACAACGCATCAAACTATCTAAACATTTTCAATTTCATTTAGATTGACAAGTATAGGTGATAAAGACATAATAAATAAAGTAAATGGTTGAGAAAGGGAAAAAAAAAAAGAAAAAAGAAAAAAACAAAAGAGACTCAATTTTCGTTTCTTTACCAGTTCAATCATGATCAAAGTCAAAGGCATACAAAATGCCTAACGTCAAAAGCTGCCCGTTGAGACGGTAGTACCAGTGCATATAAAAATCTTGAATGGAAGGTAGGAACCATGCATCATTTCTTTTTCCCCCTATTTTCCTTCCTTGTCTGGGCAGGGGTCGAAATTTAACCACTTTCATTTCATAAATAAAAGGGACAGATAGAAGATTGTAAACCATTACACAATTATGCAATGTTTCAATAGAACTTATGGAAACAGTCATCACAACCTAAAACATTTACCACTACTTGTTTATTCACCTGTGCCTGTTCTACATAATACCAACTTTTGAAAAGCTCTCATGGTAACTAAAAAGGGAAATATGCAACACAACAGGTAAAAGAAAAAGGAAAAAGAGAGAGAAAGAAATTAAACCTCCAGACCTCCTGTAACTGTTTTATGGCTAAATCAAATTCTGAAGTTTTGCCATAAGAGGAAAGCAGAGATTACCCATGAGGTAGAATCTCATCTCCATGAAAAGCGAAGATCATAAATTCCACTCAGAAAGGACTCCACACTGCACGAATGGCGTCAAAGAAACTGGAGACCGCTCAACATCCCATCACTGTGCAATTATACACAAAGCTTCCAGATCGCTTTCTGGCAAGCAGGTCCCATCGTGGTGGCCCTTCATTGGGAACCCAAGAATTTAGCTCAATCATCCCTCCACCTAAAGCCCTCGGTCCACCAATAACAATTAGTCGATCTCCACAAGCTCTAAATGCTAAACCCCAACCATTCATTGAGACTGCTCGCTCAGGCAAACTCCCAATAGTGATCCATTCATTCCTCTTCTTTTCATATTTTCTCACCTCCTTTTCAGCGTAATCCGCGGCATACAATGTATTGTTTACAACTGCAACCAGAGGAGGTGCCTCCGAAGCAGTAGGTGCATCAGCAGCAGCCCCTCCATTTCTGGCAGGGAACATATCAGGTATTTCAGTCCAAGTCCCAGTCTCAAGATCATATACTTCCCCACATGTAAGAATTTTGGGGTTGCCTGTTCCTATACCACCAATAACATAAAACTTTCTGTCCATAAATACCCCAGAGCACATTTTTCTTGCTTTATTCATGCTTGGTAGAGTCATCCAAGTTCCAGTTTCTGAGTTATAAAGCTCTGCGGAGCGCAAGATATTGCCATGCGGGTCACAACCACCAGCTAGAATTGCGATTTCCCCGAGACTAGCAGAGCCAAATAAGCACCTTGGCATGTTCATTTTCATGCCAGATGACCATGTATTTGTCAAAATGCTATATCTATAAATAACATGGGATGTTATTTCCTTCCCAAAAACAAGTAGTTCCGTACCAACAGCCAAGGACTCCTTGTCTGAACACATGAAGCATTCATTTGAAGTCATTCTAGGCAAATGCATCCAGCGGTTATTATTCGGATCATATGCCTCCCATTCAAGGAGGTTGCATGAGAAGTAAACCCAATGTTCCACGATGCCCATCTGTCGCCTTAGCCGATAGAGCTCTCCACCGCGAATTAGAGAACGGAAACTCCTATTCAAGGAGGCAATTGAACCATAATCGGACCTTGGCAAGCGTAGGAGACAGTTGATTGAAATGTCCCTACCAAGTTGGCCGATGAGTGAGCTACAATCAGAGTAATCCCCTCCCTGCTGCTGGTCATTTGATTGTTCAGAGTCATCCCTCGGCTGATGCTCATCATCTGAGTGGTCAGAGTCATCCTCTTCCTGATTCTGGTCATTCGATTGGTCAGAATCAAAGTCATCAGATTGATCCTCAGCCTGATGAGGGTCATTTGATTGATTAGAATCATCCCCGTCCCGACGCTTATCATTCGATTGGTCAGCTCGGGCATGGGAAACATCATGGCCAACTCTACAGCCTTTCCCCCCTTCAACACAATCCGATAACTTGCTGGACTTCCTCAGTGTGATCTCTTCTCCATCTTCCAATCTGCGCTTATTGCTCGAAAGCTCAATCAGTCGGAAAGTATTGTAAATCCACTTGCTTTCCTGCTCGCAAGAGCTTGGCAAATCTCTAGATACGAGATATGATGGACCTTCCAACATGTTACCAGAATTCTCCGATCCAACCACTGCAAAAATAAATAAATAAATGCAAAACTCTAATCAGTCCAGAAAGAACAACATGGAAAATACATATCTCACCAATTACTCCACATTTAATAAGCAATACATGCGCAAAATAAATCATCTTTGAATCAAATTCAAAACCCATTTAACATAAACAATGACTAAATGGCAAAAAAAAAAAAAAAACGTTCAATCCGAATTTCTCAGTAAACAAAAGTGCATGCGACAATGCATAATAGATCATAGAGATATCAAAAGCCCTAAATTTCTTCAAATCCATCGGCAACACGAAAAGCAACGAAAATTGTAACTTAAAAGAATACAGACCTCAAAAATCAAATAGAAAAAATCTAGCTCCAGAAATGGCATTTACCGAATCAGATCTCTCCGTTCAAACCAATATCGATATACCAAAAATCAAAAAGCAAAAATAAAATAAAATTAGAGTCATTCAGCGACAAAACCACACCACAATCAAAATGTCAATACAATTATCATCAAATCTAGAAACCAGAATTCCAATTCGTCCCCAGAAGAAAAGAGATCCGTCTACAATTTCCCTAAACATCAATTTCACAAACGCATATTTCCATTTCTTCTCACGAGATTAAGCAAACAAGAAAAAAAAACAAAAAAAAAAAACACTACCCGAAAAAAGAAAAAAGCCAAACTTAACCGTAAAAGAAATCCTTTTCCCCCTTAATTTTCCCAGAGCAAGAAAAAAAGAACGAAAGAAGAGCTTACGAGTTGATGAGAAGAAGATGAGTCGCAGCAAAACTCGCTCTTCTTCTTCTTCTTCGTCTCTTTCCGCTCAGTTTCTCTCTCTTAGTGTTTCTCGCTCTAGATTCTCTCTCTCTCTTTCTTTTGGTTTCTGGTTATATTCGCTGGTGTGGGGAGAGAAATGAATTAAATAAGAATATAAGGGGAAAAAAGGAAAGAAAGAGAGAAGGGTAACGCTCGTAATTAAAAATTAATTTATTTTTTTTAAGGGAAAAAAAGGAGCTTGTGGGGCCTACCACCGGTTTGGGATTGCGGCCAAGGAGTAACGAAACCGCTGACGGCCGTTTCTGCACGTGTTTCTATCTCCGCTTACCCGCAGATAATTTTCTTCTCTCTTTTTTTACTGGTTTTGAATCGCGTGGGAGACACTTAAATAATTTATTATTTATATAATAATAAAAAATTTATTTATATAATTCTAAAGAGTTTTAAATTTATTTTAAAAAATAATATGTGTAAATAATAATTGACGCAATAAATTAAATGTGGTCATATTTTAAAAAAATGTATTTTTAACTAATTAAAAATAAAATAAGAATTCATATGAAAAAATTACTTTTATGGGAGTAAAGTGAGAAACAACATATTTTTAAAAAATACATAAAAATAAATTGTAAATTTCTTTTTAAAAAATAAAGATAGAAAAGTAAAAAAAAAGGAAAAAAAAAATAGAGAGCTAAATGGGGGGTTACTATAGAAAAGAGCTTTGGCTCTTTTATTTACTGTTAGATTACATTTTTTCTAAGGAGTTTCTCTGATAGTATAAGAAAAAATAAACTACCAGTAATTTTTTATTTTCAGTTGTTAGATTTGTATTTAAAACTGTATGTTTTGTATACTTATTCAATCTAATTTTATTTTGACATAATCTAACGGTCAGATATTGACATTACAGTAAGATTGACCTACTAAAAACACTTCATTTTCTTATATTAAAAAAAACTATTCTCTTGGGTATCGCCTCTCTTTCCACAGTCATTCTCAATTTATCTCTTAAATTTTAAAAACTTTTATTTTAAAAAATATTTAAATACACCACCACTAGTAGAAAGTGGACTCCACCTACACATAGAATTATATATTGTAAGACGCGTTCTATTAATAGATGATGTTTAAGACTATCGGTGTCTATAACATTGTTCTTCACTCTATTCTCGAACTTTAAGTAAATCCAACTTAAACTTCCGTGTTAAAATTTACATTTGAAACAAAAAGAAAAAGAGGACGTTAATTGAGATTGAACTCGCCCAAACCAAAACTCTTTCAACTTCAACTCTCAAATCAAAAGTGAATAGAATAAATCTTATTTTTGTATAATATTTTAACTGAATTAGATGTAATGATCGATAAGTTTAATTCTTCATTTACAACCGTTTGTCTTCAACGAAATTTTTAATACGCAAGGGGTAAGCGAGACTAATTTAAAATTTATAAAATAAAGTGAGAGTTTTTAAAATTTAACGGTTAAGTAAGAAATAACATTAAAAATATATATATAAAGAAAAAAAAACAATTAAAATTTTCTTTTCTATTTCTTTTTTATGATACTTGTTCGTGATACGTGTTTTTGAACTTCTAATCACATTAAAATTATGCATTGAATTCCAACAACATGAAAATCTAATGAAAATCCAATGGATTATAATTGTGTATTATCTTTAAGGTGTCATTTTGTGTTTCTTTTACTAGTTTAGTGGCTTTACAGAGTTGTGAGTTTTTTTCTTTTTAATTATTTTGTACTGCCATATTTTTTTTTCTCTTTTTCTTAAATAATTAATGAATTGAAGGGAAAAAAAAGAGAAATTATAACTTTTTTTTTAGATTTGTCACCTGTACACCATTTTAAAGGTCTAATCACATTATAATTATGCACCAAATTCAAACAACATGAAAATCTAAAAGAATGTAATTGTATACTATCTTTATGGCGGGGGTATTTATCTCTTTTTCTTATTTCGTATTATATCAAAAAATTCTCATTTGTTTTGTTTTTTTGTTTTTTTTTTTGAATTGATATGATTTTGTATGTCTTTTACTAATTAGGCGGTTTTGATGAGCTGTCATTTCTTTTCTTAAATAATTAAAGAGTCAAAAAAAAGAGAAACGATAACCTTTTCTCGCGAGAGTTGTCACATGTACATGTTTTTAAATATCTAATCACATTAGAATTATGCGCCAAATTCAAACAACATGAAAATCTAATATATTGTAATTTATATTATTTTAATGAGTTATGGATATTTATCTCTTTTTTCCTATTTGGTACCATATTAAGAAATTCTCATTTTTCTTTGAATTGGTATGATTTTGTGTATCTTTTTACTAATTAGATGGTTTTGATGAGTTGTCTTTTTATTTTTTATTTTTTTAACTTTCCATCCGGGTTTTAGAAATTTGTATTGTAAGTTATGATAGATAATCCCATATTTGTCTATATAAACTGCTAAATTTTCTTAAAGCGCCAAATTATTAAATTATTAAATCTTAATTATTAAATCTTAATCCAACTTTAGAGAGGCACATTGACCGTCCATTTACTCCCTATCTTTGAGTTAATGTTTTTGATAGCATTCATTGACTGATATGCATTTCCCATTTTGCAATGAATATGTATTTATCATATGTTATCTTTTCTGTATTGATTATTTTATTGAAAGATTATATATGACTCTTTTTTTTTTTTATAAAAAAATACTATTAATATTAAATGAACTTGCGGTTGTGAAAATCTGGAGTATTATATAGATATGGATATGGTCCAAATTTCATAATGTTTCTGTTAGAAATTGCAAGTCAGAGATATATGTGAATATTGGATTGATTGAAAGCAATGATCAATTGAAATCAAGAGGAATTAATTTTCCATCACAACATAAATAAATTATCATGTTGTCGTTGAAATTGAAGAGATTATTTAAGTGAGATGAGATTATTCACCAATGTATTCAGAACCACGTAAATGTCGTTTTCTAATAGAAACGATACTGCCTAATTAATAATAGAAGAAAATTACAAAAAAGAACCCAATCATCACTGCTAGATTGAGCTAGTAGCTACCGATCAATGAAATAATAATTCAAAAAAATCAGTAAAATAGTAATTCAGAAGATTTATTTGTGTATTTGGTGGAAATATTTCCTTTAAAAAAAAAAAAAAACGTTTTCAATAATTGGAATCGTTTGTCTATTTATTTTTCTTATTTTTCACTCAAAATGATCGCTTCTAAATTTTTCAATGACTAGTTTTCATTTGGAAGCAACAATTTTTCTTTTCTTTTTTTGTTTTCACGTGTATTTAATATTCCCAAATCAAGAAACTATTGCTTTGAATATTTGTAATATTGTTCTCTATTTATCCTAACCAACCTAGTTCCTTTTTCCCCATATATATAGCAACTCATTTTTTTCAAGTCATTTTTTCCTTTTAAAAGAGGAAAATACCAATGCAAAATCACTAGTGAATAAATCTTGTTTGATTAACAAAAAAGAATATTTCTTGTTTATTTGAAAAGAAACCTCTTTTTTTTTTTTTTTTTTTTTTTTTTTTTTTTTTTTAAAAAAAAACCTTTTTTTTTTTTTTTTTTTTTTTTTTTTTTTTTTTTTAAGAAAAGAAAAAGAAACCTCTTTCAATCCCCATCCAAATTCCCTTCTCCAACTTCACTTTGTTATCTCCTAGTTTTGTAGTTTTATAGATTTTTTTCTCTCTTTTTTATGATATATATATATACCATGCTGGAAGATGTGCCTTAGGCATGTCTCCGTTAGTAACATTTTATTTTACTTTGCAATTTTCATGTGTTTTTTAAAATTTATTTAAAATTTTTAAGTTTGACAAGTAATATTTCCATAGAGATTTTTTTTCAATAGTTTTTCTATGAAAATAAATAAATAAGTATACTGAGAAAACTCAATTTATAATTTAAGTTGAACTTGAACATTAATGTCTTTTTTTAGGGATGCAAACAATGTTTTAATAATAAGCATAAATAAATATAGTCAACTGCTAATTATTTTTCGAACTAAAAAATGATATCATAAAAATTTGAACTATAATAGTGTAAATTTTTTCTGAAGTTTTAAATTTTAACCTAAATAAAATTACAATTTTAAAAAATCAACAACTTTATATTATGCATAATGATAGTTGAAAAAAAAATATACATTTTTTTTACTATAAATAGTATAGATATATAGTAAAGAGTATAGAGGTTCACAAGCTTGAAAGCAAGTAAGCTAACATGTTGAAGTCTATAGATAAAAAATCGTGACAAAAAATTTAAATGACAATTAAAAACGTAAATGAAAAGAAAAGCTTAAAAATACAATTTTAAAAAAGAAAAGAAAAAAAAAAGCTTGAAAAGAAAGTAAGCTAACATGTTGAAGTATAAAAATTTTAAAAGTATCATTATATAGAATATATTCATTGAATTAGATTAGAAATCCATATATTCAATTTGATTAATGTCAAATATATAAGCAAAAAGCACAGAAAGTAGGAGAAAGACGTGGACTTGGGATAACCGGAGAGTTTGATTACAAAAAGGCTTTTGGGGGTTTAATCAACGGAAATGGTTGGTCTTTTTATTTGCGTGATAATGACGTTGCTTTATTGGAGAAGATATAAAGATAACAGATTATATAGGCATCGGATAAAGACACATCAATGAGAAATATAAGAATATTAAATGTTAAAGCATCACTCCTTAGCTGCTCCTCTCTCTTTCCACGACCTAAACATTCCCAAAACGCAACTATTGGAATCTGAAACATCTGATTTTTTATTGGAAGTTTTGTAAATCACGGCCCTCAGAATTTGTGTTTTGCTTAAAACTAATTAAAGCACACCCCACGATCGACGCCAAGCTATTTCACATTCACACACACACACACACACACACACGTATAGAGAGCTTTTAAATAGTTACGTTATTATCAGTGGTTAGATCTAGTCATTTAGATCTTCTATTCGCTAAATAAGACGCATAAATTAGTCATTTAGAATATATTTATTTGATCGTATTAAAGGACTGTATTGTATAATAATATAATAATATAATATTTAATGT